TATATTTATGTTTGTGGTTGTAATGTGACAAAATATGGAAAAGTTCAAGGGGTATGAATACTTTTGCAAACCACTGTATATATATAGTATAACCTTTAAATTGTATAGTATGTATACACACGCACATACATCTTTAACATAAGTCTCAATCTCAATAGAGGTTGAGATTTGGGCTGTTTTTTCTTTTTGTGGTTGGGAGGTTTTTACGTTGCGTTTGAGCTGGAAGCTGTCAGTTCGATCTGGCAACCCTGGTGGGACGTGCCCAGAACACCTCACCAGGGAGGCGTCCAGGAGGCATCCTGACCAGACTGCCCAAACCACCTCAACTGGCTCCTCTCGACGTGGAGGAGCAGCGGCTCTACTCTGAGCCCCTTTCAGATGACCGAGCTTCTCATGAGAGCCCAGATACCCTGCAGAGGAAACTCATTTCAGCTGCTTGTATCAGTGATCTTGTTCTTTCGGTCAGATGAGGGTAAAAACATACAGTAGATGCATGACTTGGTCAAACCGTCACCTGTTGAAGTAGGCCTATGTGTTTTAGCAAAACATCATGAAGCACTGAGCAGATTTTAATCAACCTCTTAGAAACTAAGACACACAATGGTTATTTTGAAAATCCATGACATTCGTTCTGGAGATGGTTTTTGAAGGTGTGGCGCTTCGAGCTGGGAGGTCTGTATATCTTTTTTCACATCCACCTCTTCTGGGAAGAGTCCAAGGCATTCCCAGACCAGTTCTCCATCATATCCTAGGCTGCCTTCTGTTTTACAACACCACCATTCCTGTTGGTTTGCTTTGACAAGATCACACTGTTTTAACCATTTCTCAAGCAGGTTAAACTTTGTGGAAAATAAAAATCAAGAGTGGCCCAAAAAGGTAAATAAAAATGACAACCGAGTATTTGTTTAATTCTAGCTTAAAAACATTTTGGTCAATCAATTTTAAAGGGCKTGTTTACTATTTATTTCAGCTGCTGACTCAAATGCAGACTTGCACTGATGACTGACAGGACAGCACTTTACTCAGACACTCATTTGGCATCCCTCCACCGTCTGCTTTACAACACTGAAGCCCATCTCATCAGGACTCTRTCGATAACTCAAACCCAACACCTTTCAGAACACCATTTTAGAAATGATAAATTTTACATAGATGTCCTCTAACAGCTTAAATCACTGATGACTGAGCTTCGTACACAGCACCCTGTTACCTGTCCATCTATATTATATCCATACCTCCTAAAACAGTTTCAAACGTTTTTAATGTGAAAGCTTTGGCCGATGTCCACTTATCAATTCTTAACATCGTAGTGAACGTGCACACGATCAGGTTTGCCCCATCTTTTCTTGTAAAGCACTTTGGTAACAAAACTGCCAACATATTCTTAATATTTTCCAATTTAGCTGCTGAACCCGCCATTTTTTCTGGAAAACGTCATGCTTCAATAGTGTTTCCAAAAAGATTGTTACAAAAAAAATCAAAAGCACAAAAGAGACATGGAGAACGACGAAGTATTTAAACTCTTACTTCAGAATTGTGCAAACGTTTGTTTCAACATCTGACCTTAAGGTTCAACACAGATTGAGAGCATTTTATTTATTAAAATTCATCCTGAGAACAATTTGTCTACAAACTGAACAGAGTATTTATGTACACAAGTGTGATCTGAGACCTTTCCAGAACTTCAGCTTTATTGTGACAGTTCAAACATACAGCCTTCTGTAAYGAGCAAAATGAACCCCCAAAAAAGTTTTTGAATCACCTTCATTAGATGTGTGACTGTTAACGTCTTCTCTTCCAAGTTTTTCTGGAGACGAGTTAACTGTTAACACCAGCAGAGCAGTCCTCTCTGGACAGATGTGACTCGGGTCAAATCTCAGTAGCATTGCTGTTTCCTTGCCTGAACCACTACAGAGAATGAAAACGGAACCGTCTGAAACGCTACTGGAATTTGCAAAGTGTACCACGCCTCTTTTTATATGAACAGCTTTTATTTACAAAGAACTACCCTTCAAACGATCACCTACACTTGGTATGTGCTGCCGATCTGTCATAAACCAAGAATTCAGTTATAGTTAAACGAATAAGCTTCATATCAAGAGCAAAAAAACTTAAAAAGGTAAAACCAGAAGCAGATAAATTACAACAAAAAAATCTGCGAGGTCACTTCTCTGTCCAGATTGGCACTGATGAGCCAAATAATTAAAATAAACGTGGCTGTCATCTACAAAACGCTGTTCCTCTGGTGATTTTTTTTAAGAGCCTGATTTGAACATTTTGTTTATTCAAAAAAGAAGTTCTTGTGTCACTGTTTCACAGAGAAGCATCACTAAGAAGCACTAATTTACAGCTGCAGTCGAAACATCAAATTACCTCTCCAAAAAACAGACACTTCTAGTTCACATATTAAAATATACAGTCTGTTAGTCAGTTATGTCTATATATTTCAATATACAAATCTGTGAAGAAAAGAAAAACAAAGTATGGCATTGTGTTCAGTTTCACGGTTAAAGGAAAATTATTAACCTTTAATTGTGGGAAAGAGACTTGCTGCTTAGAATTTTACATACACTAATAAGCCTTTTACCTGAGTATGGGCTATTGTCTCCAAAAGGAAAAAAAATTGGAGTTTGAATCTGGTTTATCTCTCACACACACATACACCACACATAGAGCTAAGAATCTCACAAAAGTATTGTTTTAAATAGCAGAAGTCAACACACTCAAAAGCAAGTCTGATGCTAAAATAATTATCATCTTTGGAGAAAAAAAAAAAAAAAACAAGAGGGAAAAAGGATTACAACAACAGAGCTCCTTTTTTCGTATCTCCACCAGTTCAAGTGACAGAAACCTTGTTTCTGAGTGGAGTGTCCACAAGAAATGAAGAGCATCCATCATCTTAAGTCTTTTTATGATTTGTTCTGTTTGTTTGTTGTTTTTTTTTTGCATAGCCAGACAGTGGGCATGACCTTTGCAGCCACCTGAAGAGTTTCAACAAGAGAGCTGTCAGTGGAAGCGGGAGGAGTCTTGGTCCATATGCACCCCAAAACCAGGAGGTCTGGGTCTGTTTCAGTTGGTCCCTCCCAAAGACGCAGCGTTCTGCTTACAGGGTGGGCTCTTTCTGGCGCTCGCGACCGTTAGASGTCTTCTTGACTTTGGTAATGCCCTCCAGTGCACCGGACTCTGTCACACTAGAGAATTAAAAAAAAAAAACAGAGCTCGTCTTAGGATCTTTTCAATTTAAATTAGATTTTTTTTGTCATGCTAGATAAAAAAAAAATCTTTAGTCATTAAATATATTTTGTTGTAAACTAGGAGTATCTAGGAGTGCAGAAATGCTGAATTGACTCTCTCTTGGTGCTGTGTAGACATCTTTATGTTCSCTTTGAGGTCATATTTTTCAACCTGTTCAGTTTTTTTCTATTTTCTGACAAATTATTTGCGACAGAACAGCCAATTTGTAAACTTGTTTTAGCACCACTATATATTCGTAAACCCCTCGCAAAACGAGTTGATCTGAGRCACATCTCAGAAGGGGTGGGGCTTCAATAAGGGGTAATTCAACTGAATGAYTTAAATGTGATAAAGACGTATTTAAAAGCYTGACAGGTCTCCTTTAAAGACCTGTAAAAGTGTGAAATCATCTGTGTGTATGCTTACACTTCATCCATCTCCACATCCTCTTCATCCTGGGGAAGCTGGAGGTACGGGTTATTGGACGCTGGTCGGAACTTGTAGCCCGTCAGCACGAAAAAGATCAAAGTGGACACTTCCACCAGAAACTGAAGAAGCAGGAAGTGAAACTCTGAATTAATATAGTCTCATAAATAAGAAATAATTTAAAGATTTGGCACCAGAACAATAAAAATTGATTATTTTACCCAACAATAGCATTCTAAACCATTTGAAATAAAGCAATAGGAATAAGTGGTGTCTAAATAGCCATACATTAGGACATAATGCCTCATTACTGCTGATTCACAGTGAGCTCCTGGATGTCTTTGACCTTCCCCCAAACAGCAGCTCTGCAGTAAAGTCAGACTGTTACCGTACACCATGGCTGCCTCACCTCATAGCACCACTGCCACTGAAAAGGCATCGTGATCTTCAGCAAAATGGCTATGATCCTCGTGAAGTAGATGTAGCACACAATCTGAAAACAGGACAATACAAACAACTTTTAACTACGGGGAAAAATATTTCTAGAACATAGTTTTTAATCAAACAAACTTTGGGATTAGTACAGCTCATTCTGTGGGCAAGTATAAAATCCCAATCATCTAAAAAAGGTCTAAATCTGAATCAAAACACTAAAACKTTCTTGCCAAATGTTACAGCTTCATACAAGCTAATGTTTAACAACATTTCTGATGTATGTTATGTTACAAATAACTGCTAGATCATTTAAATGTAAAAACCGTAACAAGACGGTGAGATCTTGTCAGGTGATTGACAGACAGAAATATCTCACCATCACGTAATAATGTCGGAAGAGCTTGAGCTTCTCCAGATTCATGGCAGCTGAAAGATACATGAACCACGTAGAGTAAACAACCAACAGCCTTACATAAACTTGTGGGTAAAAATAATGGGAAAAATAAATTTATTATCAGGGGTAGACATAACCATTGTTTAGGTTGTCCGAGACAACCTATTTTCATTTCGGAAAACCAGATCCTGTCTCTTGGTTGTCCGGTGGCTTGATTAAAGTTCTCTGCCGCGGGTGTCCATTTGTAAAAATGAAATGGAGAAAAAACTTGGTAAAACCAAACAGAACACTAAACTGTAACTTTTAATAAGGCCATGTACACACTATACTCCTATTTAAGTGAAAATGTTTGACCTATGAGTAGAAAGAAGCTTATGAATGATGAACTCTATTTCAAAGAAGAGAATGACGAAGTTTTATTCATGCAGCTCCTGTCAACCTGGCTAACTGAGAACAATTCTCAGTATATAATAAACTTTATCTACAAAACAATATATGTGTTAGATTACATTTTTCTTGAGATTCTTTTGGACAACCAAAAGGTTTTGCGGACAACCAGGTTTTGTCAATAGGTTGTCCGCTGGACAACCTGAAAAATTTCCTTATGTCTACCCCTAGGCTATTACCTTTGCCATCTGTACTAGAAGCTTCCTGTAGATGACGAATTGACCTGCAAAGACAATAATGGTTGACATTTATAAAAATATTTGCGCACTAAAAAGAAAAGTGCTTCCACGGTCAGTAAAGCTCTTCTGAGGTTCATTTTTCTTTGAATAAAAACAAATACTGTCCTATTTTGTAGAGTCTCAACCCTAAAAGGTTAAGAAGCTTAGTTATGGCTCAACTTTTGCCTATTTGTCTGGTTTAACCAGCTCCTGTTCTCCGTTTGGCATTTGGTACTAGTGCACATGCAATTTTACTGCTTCCTTATATTTATCAAATAGTTCAACTTTACCAATACACAAAACGATGCCACTAATTGCTGTGCTAGACTCAATGGGCCTCATGCAAGAACCGTTCGTACGCACAGATTTGTTCTTAAGTTGTGCGTACGAGTGATTTCGGAGAATTTGTGGCATTCACCAATGTTTTCGTATTCTAAGATTTTTTTCAGATTCGAACAAAATTCACGAGTGGTCCAGACCTGTCGTATATTTTACGAGCAGTCAGTCTGCTGTTATCCAGACTGATTTTCTTCACTAAGAATTTTATATTTCATTAGTTTGTAGATATTTCGAGTTGAAAATAAATCCCAATCCATAATTATGTTGACAATAGGCTATTCTGTTTGAACTGGAATTATCATTTTAAATGTAACTAACGATATGAATTGGTTAGATTAAATTAAATTGACTATTAATGCTGTTGTACAACACTACAATATTAATATGAAGATCTTAAAGTACAAACCAATTTAAATTATTAATTGAAGTTTGGAGACATTTTGAAATGTCTTTTTTCAGAAACACACCTGACACTTGCGACGGGGGGGTGACGGCTCTTCTTATGAATAAATGAAAACTAGTAACACGGTTGTTTGTACCTAAATTAAAAATAGTAAAACCGAAGCTGGACTAGAGAGATGAATATGATTTAAATTTTTATTTCTGACAGTATACGACCCACAGGAGACACGACTTTAACGGCACATTTCATTCCTCGGCTTTAGCAGCTCCTGTAATTCCACAGCTGACGCTGCTAAATGAACTGTCATTTTTAATGATTTGTTTTTAAGCTGGTTTTATAAGTTTTTTAGTGAGTTTTAATAATGTGATATTTTTATTTATTTGTTAACTGTATTTTACACTTTTATTTCAAGTTGCTAAAAGCCCATCTAGGGACGAGCATTGTAAATTAGCTCTGGCTATAAATGTTGTAGTGTTTAGTATTGTTAATATTTGACACTTGTCCCTATTCAAATAAAAAATAAATGAAATGAAAATGAAATAAAAATGACAGATTTTCTTTTTCTGATCCCTGAGAGCAGGACTTTCAATCTCCGAACTCGTAAAGTTCTTCTTTTTACTTTTCGCTGTCATTTTCATGAATGGACACTTCTTGATATCTGAGGCAGGAAACATAGCCTTATATGGTGTTTTTTTAGGGTGGTAATTATGCTAATCACCTCTCCGCGTGCACGAGCAGCTGATACACATTCATCATGTTTACGCAACTCATTTACACACTTTTCCTGAAGATAGAAGAGTTTGTTGAATCTGACGTGGCATGTTCRTACGAACCCTTTGTACGAACAAAAGTAAGAGAATTTAGGATAAGAATACGAACATGTTCTTGCATGAGGCCCATTACTCCTAGCTTTGCAATAAAAATATGTATCGTAACATGCCTGTGTTAATGCAGAACATGCCCAAACAACAAAATCAGTCCTAATTCAATTTTTTAGAAAAAAATAAAATAAAACATGCAAGACAGCTTGTACACACTAACCAGACGACAGGGAAAAGAATGGCTCCGCAGCAGATAAGGTCGACCAGAAAGAGGATCTCCTTCCACAGGTAGTACTCACTGGAGCCTTCCTCTGTAGACTCGATGATGATGTAGGCAACATTAGCCAGGACCTGAAGGACAACAGCTGAGTGAGTCAACACAATGATTCCTTAAACACACCAGCAACTTATACCTGATGTTTTTAAGTACCTGCAGAGGAATCACTATCATAAAAATCTTCTTCTCTTTGTCTGACAAAATGTATTTGACAAAAGCCCAGCCGGTGCCGATCAGTGCCAACGTGATGAACAGCAGAGCCCCTTTCAGCCTGATACAGACATCAATATAAACTCAGAGGAAAAACCCAACACTAATCATTTGGCACGTCCTGCAGAAGGTACTCACAGGTGTGTTATGTAATACATGACAGCCCAGCCTTCAATAGGATGCCCCTCAGTGTTGATGAAGTGAAAGTTGATCTGAGGGAAACAAAGTGCAGTTATCATTAAGCTACTTTTAATCCTTGTTAAAACTGTTGATAATCAAATATGGTGATAACAGAGGAAATGTAATAACGATGAAAGCTCTCTTACGCTGTGGAAAACCAATGATATGGATTTGGTGAACGCCAGTGCTGCCATCAGCCAGTGGATCTTGAACACACTGTACCTGTAGAAAAGCCCACAATGAGTTTTAATGGAAACTGGAAACTTTTAAAGGACTAGTTCAATATTCATTACAAAAATTTGTGTTTTGCAGACTCAAACTTCCAGATTACCTGAACTTTAATGTATTTAATTTATTATTATTTACTTTTTAAAACATGAATATTCACAGTTTCAGCAGATTTATCTGACTTTTAAGTCACTATGAGTAATGAATGTCACATTTAAATAAAGTTTAACTGGTGACTTTATTAGTTCTCTAGGGAAGGCTTGCCAGGGGAGGGTTAGCATCGGCACTCCTCACCACCTCGCTGCACTCAGAAATCAGACCGAAGCGGCCAAAACTTGTCTAAGTCCCGAGATACAGAGGCACTACTGAGGCAGGGTGCTTCAGGATCCCCTCTCCACCTCCATGCCTCTTCTGAATGGAACGAGGTGGTCAGAACACGCTTCAGTAACTGTATGGGGCCTTTTTTGAAAAAGCCTGAGTCTTAACTGCTGATGGGGTGTAACAGGCTGCGGCTTCTTTTTAATCTTGGTAATAATTGATAACTATAAGCATCTCAGTATTTTAACTAATAGTTTTAAATACTGAAGCTGAATATTCCTCCAAATGGTGTTTGCTGCAAGCAGTTCAGATTACAMTAGGGGACTTTTTCATTTTATTATCACATATGGGTGTTTTAACAACCACAGCAGATGTAACTCTGCAAATATTTCTACCACAAACAGTAAAAAGTGATGACGTATTCCTAAATCAGACACTTCAGCACAATGTGAAAAGCGTTTGTGCGTGCGTGCCTGCACGCACGTGTACCTGTGCTTCATCAGCGTGTACACCCAAACCAAAGCAGCGGTGAAGAAGACTCCAGCCATGCAGATATAAAGGCGAGACAATGGGATTTCTGCTGCAGACAGGTACCCTTCTGGATTCTTCTCTWTCACTTCCACCTGCAGCGGATACACTCAAATAAACATGTGCAATGCCTGAGATTTCATGTACAGAGACAAAGATGCTCTACTCACCGTGAACGAGTACGGCAGTTTGGCTGCATGTTCCCTGTTCCAACAGTAGTGGAACTTGAGGCTGTACAGACCCTGAGCCTTCAAACCGAACAACACGCGGAACTGTGGAAGACACAACAAAATGTTTTACGTACCAGTACAGCCAAGCTCACATTTTTAACACAGGCTTTTAGCTAGAGGGACGGTGAGCTTTGACCCAACAGCAAGCACGGACTGTAATTTTATGAAACCAGAAGACGACATACAGAATAAATTGCACCARGCTGGATAAAAAAGATGAAAAGCGATTTTACAGCTTCAGTTGCTGTTGTGTGTTGGTGGTACAATTTTYGATCCGTCTGTCCGTAACTTCACTTCATTTTCATAAACTTCTGTGAWCTGTGTGAACAACAGAGCTGCTTCATGGAAGAATAACCTCAGCTTAGCCTGTTAACCTTCGCGCTAGCGCCTACGCTATATTGCCTTTTATGTAATAGCTCAGCTCTAGCGCGACAAACAAGCTAAACTGAGGTCCTCCATCCATATTTTCAGTTGCAAGCTGTCATTTTTGTGTTCC